TTTTTTATTTTTTGATCTTGATTATCCATAACAATATCTATATCAGATGAATCCTGTTCATTAGTGTTGTTGGTGTTTGCATTGATGGTTAGATCATCTGTGTTTTTATCTAAATTAAGTGTAACATTTGGTGCAGCATGTGCAACATTAAGTGTAATGTTATGGAGGGAATTTTGAGTTGTGGAAGTTGGTGAGATGGCTTGGGAAGAGATTGTATTTTCGGAAGAGATGGATTTTGTATCCATCATTTCCATAGATGTATTAATGGTGAGTTTTGGAGTTGAATAGGGACAAAAATCAGTTGGTTTTTTGAATGAACAATTCAAATTACAGGCAAAAGATTTACTGTCTTTATGAGCAAAGATTTGCCCAAAACAATGATTAGTATTATTATCTTCATTTGTTAATGTATAGATGAATGTTTGATTGCAGTTAATACAAGCAATCAAGTAGTAGTCTTCTTGAGGGCAGACTGAACCAGAAGAAGAAGATCTATCAATTTTCTTTTTTGCTGGAGCAGGAGTAGGTGGACTTTGTCCAGTTTTGTCTTTATTACGATTTCTTTTATTTGTCATCTTAACTAGGATTAATAACTATTGTATGGATGAAAAATAAAGTAAAATATGTTTTTGATTTGGTTGTTTTAATTAAACCAGTAAATTCTTTGAAAATTTTTATTCAAATGATCAGCAGAAAGATATTTGACCTTTTTTATTATATTTAAATTATAAATTTTTAAATTTTTAAATATATATTATATATATATGATACATTGATAAGTACATCACTTCAACTTATTAATGCTATGAAAAAATGAAAACATTGATTGAAAAGATAAGAAATAAATTATGTATATTTATGTATGTTTATGATTGTTAAAAATTACATTTATTTTTTTGTCAAAAATCATTATTGTAGTGTGTATATTTGACATCCGAATTTCAAAATGAAAAAAAAATCCAAAGAAATTATTATATAATATCATTACTTGAGACATTTAAACTATAGTAGCCAGATAAATAAAAATAAATAAATAATTTAATACATAACAAGTGACAAGATTTAACTTATTTAGGTAAGTCATCTGGTATAGCTAAATCAATTTGTTTAGAATCTACAAAATATTTATCACAAGATATTAATAAATATTGTTAACTTAATAAAAATGAAAATAGTCAATATTTGAATATTAATAATTACCATTATTATTACCAATAATTGTTACTTTATTGGAATTCACAGGTTGGGGAAGGTTTGTAAAATTTAATAATCTGCTAGTATAAACTGCATTTGGATGAATTGTTGCAGTAATTGTTGAAGGATCAAATTTTATTTCACCCATTTTATAAAACTCATTTCTAACTGATTTTAATTCATCATGCTGTTTGTTTGAATATCCGTAATCTTCAGGATAATCCATTATAATAACATTAAATGAATCATCCCAAAGTTTAATAATCTCATAAGTTTCTCCAGCAGTTGGACGTTTATCTGGATTAGCATCCATGCATTTTAATGCTAGTTCAATATAGAATTTTGGTGTATTGTTTGAGAATCCTGGTCTTGCACCTTTGCATATTTTCATTGCAAGATATTCATCATGTGCTAAATTATTAAATGGTTGTTGGCCAGTTGATACTACAGACATCAGAACTCCAAAACTGTATACATCTGATGCCATTGTATATGGTTTCTTTTTTAAAACTTCTGGTGCAATATATGGTAGTACTCCACATATATCATCTGATGATGATGTTTGACTAGCTGGGCATGATAACCCTAAGTCTGCAATAAGTGAATATTGTTTATGGTATAGAAGAATATTACCACTGTGGAAATCATGATGAATGGTTTCTTTTTCATGAATATCTTTTAACCCTTTAATAATTTGTTTAAGAATATTAATTTTCTTTTCCCAATTTAAATTTTTAAAATCTTTTGTTAAATAATCTTGGAGACTTCCATCCTCCATATATCCCATTACAAATATATATTCTTTTGTAATTGGATCTTGTGCTAAACCATAAATATGAATTATATCATGTTTATCATATAATTTCACATAATTTTTGAACTAAATAATAAATAAAATATTTAATTACAACAATAATAATCAATAATATCTAAAAATCTGAAAATAAATAAAATAATAAAATAATTTACCTCATTGAGAAATTCATCAGAAATATTCTGTGAATTATGCAGTTTTTTTAATGCCACAATCTTATCTTTACTAGTTCTTTTTTCAATTACATAATTTACGCTTTTCTCACCATTTAACCAAGTAGCTTTGGATATAGTTGCAAAACCACCTTCACCTATCTTTTCAATATTTGTTAAATCATCATAAGGAATCCATTGAAGATAATAATAATTATTATACTTAGTTACTTTAAGTTGTGTACTTTTAATCAACTCATCTAATGTTTCATTGCCACTAGTCCATCCTTCAGTTAACAACTTTGGATCACATGATTGACACCATGAATAACTGGTATTATATCTATTGCATGTTGGACATTCCCCATAATATTTATGTCTTTCATCAGAATATTCATCATTTTTGTCAGTATAAGTATTGTCATGATGTTTATTTTCATCCAAAATGTTTTCCATTGATTTGTAAAAAAAAAATTTTTTTTTAAAAGAACTTTTTTTTTTCAGCCACAAATATGTATCACAAAAAATATATTAATTAATATTAGATTTATCTAAAAAAAAATCTAACATTTTACCTGAACTACAACAATTCAGCAAGAGTATTGTAAAATCGAAAAAGTACCACTTAGAAAAGTGATGCTGCACAGACTATATAACATCACCTCAAAATTTGCACAAATGTTCTGAGCGGAATTGGATTTTTATTCGGGGTTGCTATTTCTCACCGGATGTACTCATGATAAATATTAATTTCATTGTCAATCGCTCGTAATTTAACCATTTGAGGATCTGGATAAGGAAAATTTTATTTTCGATTGCTAAATTTCCATCGAAGGATTTTTTTTAATTAGAAAAAAGTTTGGTAGATTTTTTTTATTAACAATCAAAAACTTGTAAATAACTTTTGATGTTTGCATGAAGCTTATTTTCTATAGCGATAGATTTGAAAAAAAACCCCAATTGTTCCAATTGACCTTTAATCTGGGATAAATAAATAAACACGAGGACAAAGATCAGGATAAAAAGGACCTTTTTTTTCATTAGGAAAAAAAAGCTTTGTTATTTTTTTTAAACAATCAAAATATGTAAATAAATTTTGATTCACATGAGAGTTCTTCTTTTCAAAGGATCTTATTTTTTATAGGAAAAAAAGTTTAGTTGATGTTTTTAACAATAGAAATTTGTAAAGTTTATTCTTTTATGGCGGATATGCTTTAAAAAAAATCTGATCAATCAAATTGACCTTTGATCTGGGATGAATAAATAAATAAATAAATCCAATCCACACCTCTCCTTTTGTCAATTCAATATATATAAAAATGTCATCTATCTTATCATCCATTATAATGGGGTGACTGTGTGCCATACGTAAGAATAAAATATATATTACAATTCATTGCTTAGCTTCTAAAGATTGCAAAAAAAATAAAGAGTTTGTTTTAGCATTGGTGGTTTGAAGTTGCGCAATTTTTACTATATATTAAAAAAGTGGTATGACCATTTTGGGTATAAGCCGTATCTAAATCAGATGAGGCGATTTTTATGTCATTAATATGAAAGCAAACATCGACTTTTTAGCAACAAATATCCTTCTTTGTACGTTATGCATTGAATTATTAAGAGCAAAAAATTCGAGTTTTTTAATCATTGAAGCACTAATCATTAAAACGCGCGTTTTTTAATCTTTTTGTATAAATGTATAAATAAATTATCACCAATCAATCTTGCACAAAAACCAAACTTTGGCGGTGGCTTTTTTATTATTATTTTTATTATTTCATTTTTACAATGTGAACAAATTGATAGTTATCACAATATCTATTTACGAAACATTGTTGCCCTAATAAATCAACATATATAAAACCTCCTAACTGGTGAATACAAATCTTGCATTTCTATTAATATTTTTCCATTCTTTATATAATATATTATAACACCTACTTTTTATAATAAAAGCCTTTGTGTTTAAATTCATAATTTTGAAAAATTTGCTCTACATTTCTTAATGTAATGCTATTAAAAACAGATTTGTGAGTCTCTCTAAATCTATTAACCAACGCTCCCATAAATAATAATACGAAATATCAGTGTATTTTACACTTTAGCAGCCAATTAAATTCGTAACTTTATAATAGGAATTCTCTCAATATAAGAAAATATTCATTTAAAACTTTTAATTATGCGATTTATTTTTTAAAAAAGTAATAAGATACGAATTCAAAATTAAAATAGCAAACTGGATATATTTGTAAGACTAAACATAGGCTTCTCATGCATTCTCAACTTCATTTAATATGGTAATAATAATAAAATTTGATAATTCTTCAAAGTGAAAATTTTTTGAACGAGTATCATAAGCTTAGACATAGAATGGGAATAGTATATAAAATATATATTATATAATAATAAATAAGATAAATATTAAATTTATTAAAATAGAGTGAATTTAAAAACCCATCCACATGATTGGTTATATACCATTAAATTTGTTTAATATACAACTTGATGATGTCATGTTTGCTGAAAAAAATCTTTCTTTTAGCACTTTTCATAGAAATCACTAATTTCAAATTCATATTTCTTTTTTGCCACGTAATCCTCTTTAGAATCCTTACGATGAGAGTAAATAAGATAATTAAGAGCTCCAGTTTCAAGTATGTTGATCCGTACCTTATTTTCCGTTTCCATCCTTTTCACTTTTATCGTTGTTGGTCCATCTTTTTCTTCTTCATTCTTTCCCGTAGTTTTATTTCCATGTTCGATATTTTTTTCCATAGCACCTTTGATTATTTCACAATTAAGATGCAGAGGACAAGTTGTATCTGCCCCGGTAATCTTCTTGATTTCTTCTAGGATTGGACCACTTTCAAAGACTCCTTGCCCAAAAAGATACTTGCTCACATTAAGAAAAAATCTTCGAATGTTTTGGAATTTTTTATCCTTTAGTAGATCATTTATATGTTTTTCTTTATCATATTTATAGTTAAGCGGGTAAAAATATACACCGTCATCATTGAACGTAACGTAGAAATAATTGTTTTCTTTTTCTTTTTCTTTTTCTGTTGCTTTTCTTTTGTCTGTTTCTTTTTCTTCGTCTGTTTCTTTTTCTTCGTCTGTTTCTTTTTCTTCGTTTGTTCCTTTTCCTTTGTCTGTTCCTTTGTTTTTGAATATATTTTTAAATAATCCATAGATAACAAAGAAAGGATAAAAAACGACACAGAAAAAAATCAGGACTTTATTTTGTTGTTGATCATTTTTTCCTTCGTCTTTATCTTTTTCTTCACAAATATAAAAGTATTCACCCGCAGAACCAAATCGGCATCTTGTCCATTCATCCAATGATTTATTCTTTTGATAATAAAAATATACAACCTCATGAATATTTTTAATTTTGATTTCTGCATAAACTTTCTCATCTCCACCATGTTTATAAGTACATTCAATTACTCCGCCGTCAGAAAAGAATGATGCGATTGAACGGGTCAAAACAATGGTAAGAATAGTGTTAAAAATTGTGTTAAAAAAAGGTTGGGTACAAAACCAATAGTATTCAAAAAATATATGAAGTATGCAAAAAATAATGGTAAAAAAGAAAACTTTTTTACGAACAAAGCCACTATAACGTCTCTTTTTACCAGTAATACAAAATATATATTTTTCCAAATTAGGAAAATGATATGTTGCAACTAGACAAACAGTCGCGAAGAGATAACAAAAATTTATGAAATAGTTTAAAAATAACAAGTTGATTTGCCTAGCAAATACAACAACCTTTGATCCATTATCTGAATTAAGTTGATCGAATTGTTTAAAGTATGTTGAAAAGATATACTTGTATGTCAAGAAACTATAAACTATGACTTCAACTGAATGAAGAAAATACCCCCAAATAAACATGTCTTTAAAACCACCAAAGAATTCTTTGTTGGTAACATGTAAATTCTTTGGAAGCATTTGAAACCATATTGAATCTTTGTTGAGTTCATTCCGACATTGATGAAAATGAAACCTGACAATTGCCCCAAAAATCTGGAGAATTATCATTATTCCGAACAAAACACCAATAGTTATTGAATTGATAAGATCTTTGTCGTAAATTAGATCCCCTTGGATTTCATGTATTATTCCATAAAACCATAATGGTTTGGCAAAAGTGTACCACCAAAAAATTGGTGCAAAAGAAGTTGTAGCAATAACAATGTCATCAATCAAGCAGGTTGTCATAATTCCAAATATAGATTTTGCACCATAAACAACTATAGTAAAAAGAAGACCTGCAATAGGGATGAATGTCCCTGCTTGAGAAAAAAAGCTGGTGTATCCTTCTAAACTGCTAGTAGGACCAGTACCGGGACATATAAAATCCACACCATCTTCAGTAACATTGATTAGCGGTAATTGTATTATGCCGGCAAGAAAATCAGTCACTGTTGACGTAAGATTTTTTTCTGCTTTTGCTGTGGAGATAAAACCAAAAAAAAGGCAGAAAATAAAAATTTTAATTTTAATTATAGAAAGCATTTTTCAAGTAATCAAGTAATGAATGAAAAGGTTTGATGGAGGGGAATTTGGAATTGAATTGATATAATTTTTTTTGCGATAATAATAATAAATATTAATGTTCTATTTTATCACAAAATTTTGCGGATATTTTTTTGTATATAATACAGAATTTCTGAGGTTTCACAAAATTTGCGGATATTTTTTGTGGGTTAATAAATAAATGAATTTAATGAGTTAAAACCTATGTGCGCAATTCATATTCCAAAAAAAATTTATGAATTCACGTTCAAAACACTATTAAACCGATCTTTAACCGGTATTTAACCAGTATTTGTGACTAAGATAACACAACCCTAGTCTCAATGGACCATGACCTGTTACTAATTCTGAGTTAATCTAATTCCGAAACTATGTCACTTTTTTGGAGTCATCTGGATAATCTTGCGCTTTGAAAGTTTCAGTCACAAATTACTTGATAGCGTCTACTTTTTTTATTATTTCTTCCAAAATGTCATTATATGTTGCACTGGGCTATTATCCTTAAAATGGTGCTGCTTACATGCCACTATTTTAAATTTCTGATTTTTATTATTGAACACTTTCATCAGAAGCGTCAACCTTTCAACCTTTACTTGTTCCATTAAAAGCATTAGGATTTTTTCTAAATAAACAATACACTATCAATTACTTTTCGGTTAGCATCCTTTTCGTTAGCCATGCCCTCATTAATTCTTTTGGTTTTTATCAAAGTCAATATTTAATTCAAAGTATTCTTTCCGAAAACTGACTAATGGTATTAGCTTCTTTTTGTGTTTCTCCTTTTTCTCCGGTACTTTTATTTATCATCATACCCTTGGTTGAGAGATAAACTCATCCCATTTTTCTTCAACTGCTAATAATTAACAATACTCGATTACCTGTGCCAGTTTGAAGGGAAAATTATCAGACCTTCGATTCTTAACTAATTCTTCTCGGTAAAAAGGGAGATGTATTTTCCACGCAAACTCTTCTTATAAGAAAGTCGTCGGTTTAAAAGAATAAAACAGCGCTATTCTTCCTTAAATCAACATTTAAGTTAGGGAATAATTTCTCCATCCTATATCATGGTTTTCATTATACAGTTTAAATGGATTGTCGTTCAAAAATTATTATTTGGGTGGAATTTGAATTTGAGCATATTGAGTTTGTTTTGTTTCAAGAGAAATATTTGATTTTTTTTGTAATTTATTTTGTAAACTTGTCTGAGTTTTTGTTTAAATTCATTAAAACGATATCTCTTTCAAAGAAAATAAATAGTGTACAGGAACAACATATATGAGTTATTGCATACGGAGCATGCAATTAATAAAAGCTCAGCAACCACTTTTGTTTTTTTAGTCATTTTTGATGCGTACCTGCATTCAATAACCGATTTATGTATGTACGACCATGAACCATGAAACATTCCAGATTTCCAAATGGAAATCTTGGAATGGTATGGAAATCTTTTTCTTTTTTTTTTACGATGAGGTAATGTCGCATAATTTTATTTATAGTATATAATAAATGAATAATAATAATGGAAATCTTAGCATGTAATGGAAATCAATTGCTAATTTAATATTAAGGTGCAGTCGAATCCAATAAAAATTAATCTTTATTATTGAATTCTCCTAAAAGGTTATTTATGATTCTTTTTTTAAAATTTACTTATATGTAACATTCACGTTAGGGTAGCATGTGGACATTCGTATTCATTTAGCTAAATTTTATGATGACCTCACCTTACATAACTAAATTTTATTGGCTTGAATATCATTACGCATTTTGAAAACAAAGGGAAGGAAACGAATTTCAAGTTGATGCGAAAATGTATATATTAATTTATTCTAAAAAAATATATATATTTCTTTATCTGAATGTTTTTAATACATAGACTTGGTTTTTGTTATACAGTCTAATATATTATTTACTCTTCATTGACTTCATCAAATCAATGTTTTATCTTTATTAGTGGGAATATGAATTATTATCCATTATATAATATAAATAAATCGGTGGCTTAAATATGAATATAATTCTGAAAATAAATTAAATAACACACACTACCATATTGCGTGAAGTTAAAAAAAAAAAGAAAACACAAATATAAATATGTTTTTTAAATTGCATACATCATAATTATACCCAAAGTATATCCATTATTATTAGTTAAAACTTGATTTTTAAATACATTGTAAAAAAATCAAAGATGTAGCCTATCATATGATCTTTGTACTATTGGAAAAAGTTGAATATAAGTTATAAATTAATTATTTCCTTAAAGTATAATGAGAACATAAAATAAATTTACCTGCAAGTATAATAATGACTCATTAAAGTAAAATGTTATCATTCATATTTTAAAAAAAATAAATATTAATAACAATAATAAAAATAATGACACAATTCCGACATGCAAGATCACAGAAGCTTTAAACTTTTGCTTCTAATTCATCCTACTGAAATCAATTTGATCAAGTATAAAGTTAAAGCGATATATAAAAAAAAAAGATTTTCCCATTAAATGGATTTTGTGCACAGTCATGCCAAGTTTTTAGAACAAGAAAAAATTGTCACTATAAATAAAGTACCGTATGCGGATTGATTTCTCCAAAAGATTCTTTCTTTCTTTCTTTGAAATTTACTTAATTTATCTTCATTTTTTGGCTAAACTTTATTCCTAGTAACGCGAAACACAATTTTGGCTTATTGTAGTGATCGTAAAAAGTAACATTTTTCATGTATTGTAACAATATCAATCGGATATTTAGCAGCGAAAATCATATAAATTCAATTCCAAATTCCCCTCCATCAAACCTTTTCATTCATTACTTGATTACTTGAAAAATGCTTTCTATAATTAAAATTAAAATTTTTATTTTCTGCCTTTTTTTTGGTTTTATCTCCACAGCAAAAGCAGAAAAAAATCTTACGTCAACAGTGACTGATTTTCTTGCCGGCATAATACAATTACCGCTAATCAATGTTACTGAAGATGGTGTGGATTTTATATGTCCCGGTACTGGTCCTACTAGCAGTTTAGAAGGATACACCAGCTTTTTTTCTCAAGCAGGGACATTCATCCCTATTGCAGGTCTTCTTTTTACTATAGTTGTTTATGGTGCAAAATCTATATTTGGAATTATGACAACCTGCTTGATTGATGACATTGTTATTGCTACAACTTCTTTTGCACCAATTTTTTGGTGGTACACTTTTGCCAAACCATTATGGTTTTATGGAGTAATACATGAAATCCAAGGGGATCTAATTTACGATGTAGGTCTTATCAATTCAATAACTATTGTTGTTTTGCTCGGAACAATGATAATTGTTCAGACATTTGGGGCAATCATCAGGTTTCATTTTCATAAACATCGGAATGAACTCAAAAAAGATTCAATATGGTTTCAAATGCTTCCAGCTAAGCTACGTCTTAACAACAAAGATTTCTTCAGTGCTCTTAAAACCATGTTTATTTGGGGGTATTTTCTTCATTCAGTTGAAGTCATAGTTTATAGTTTCTTGACATACAAGTATATCTTTTCAACATACTTTAAACAATTCGATCAACTTAATTCAGATAATGGATCAAAGGTTGTTGTATTTGCTAGGCAAATCAACTTGTTATTTTTAAACTATTTCATAAATTTTTGTTATCTCTTCGCGACTGTTTGTCTAGTTGCAACATATCATTTTCCTAATTTGGAAAAATATATATTTTGTATTACTGGTAAAAAGAGACGTTATAGTGGCTTTGTTCGTAAAAAAGTTTTCTTTTTTACCATTATTTTTTGCATACTTCATATATTTTTTGAATACTATTGGTTTTGTACCCAACCTTTTTTTAACACAATTTTTAACACTATTCTTACCATTGTTTTGACCCGTTCAATCGCATCATTCTTTTCTGACGGCGGAGTAATTGAATGTACTTATAAACATGGTGGAGATGAGAAAGTTTATGCAGAAATCAAAATTAAAAATATTCATGAGGTTGTATATTTTTATTATCAAAAGAATAAATCATTGGATGAATGGACAAGATGCCGATTTGGTTCTGCGGGTGAATACTTTTATATTTGTGAAGAAAAAGATAAAGACGAAGGAAAAAATGATCAACAACAAAATAAAGTCCTGATTTTTTTCTGTGTCGTTTTTTATCCTTTCTTTGTTATCTATGGATTATTTAAAAATATATTCAAAAACAAAGGAACAGACAAAGGAAAAGGAACAAACGAAGAAAAAGAAACAGACGAAGAAAAAGAAACAGACGAAGAAAAAGAAACAGACAAAAGAAAAGCAACAGAAAAAGAAAAAGAAAAAGAAAACAATTATTTCTACGTTACGTTCAATGATGACGGTGTATATTTTTACCCGCTTAACTATAAATATGATAAAGAAAAACATATAAATGATCTACTAAAGGATAAAAAATTCCAAAACATTCGAAGATTTTTTCTTAATGTGAGCAAGTATCTTTTTGGGCAAGGAGTCTTTGAAAGTGGTCCAATCCTAGAAGAAATCAAGAAGATTACCGGGGCAGATACAACTTGTCCTCTGCATCTTAATTGTGAAATAATCAAAGGTGCTATGGAAAAAAATATCGAACATGGAAATAAAACTACGGGAAAGAATGAAGAAGAAAAAGATGGACCAACAACGATAAAAGTGAAAAGGATGGAAACGGAAAATAAGGTACGGATCAACATACTTGAAACTGGAGCTCTTAATTATCTTATTTACTCTCATCGTAAGGATTCTAAAGAGGATTACGTGGCAAAAAAGAAATATGAATTTGAAATTAGTGATTTCTATGAAAAGTGCTAAAAGAAAGATTTTTTTCAGCAAACATGACATCATCAAGTTGTATATTAAACAAATTTAATGGTATATAACCAATCATGTGGATGGGTTTTTAAATTCACTCTATTTTAATAAATTTAATATTTATCTTATTTATTATTATATAATATATATTTTATATACTATTCCCATTCTATGTCTAAGCTTATGATACTCGTTCAAAAAATTTTCACTTTGAAGAATTATCAAATTTTATTATTATTACCATATTAAATGAAGTTGAGAATGCATGAGAAGCCTATGTTTAGTCTTACAAATATATCCAGTTTGCTATTTTAATTTTGAATTCGTATCTTATTACTTTTTTAAAAAATAAATCGCATAATTAAAAGTTTTAAATGAATATTTTCTTATATTGAGAGAATTCCTATTATAAAGTTACGAATTTAATTGGCTGCTAAAGTGTAAAATACACTGATATTTCGTATTATTATTTATGGGAGCGTTGGTTAATAGATTTAGAGAGACTCACAAATCTGTTTTTAATAGCATTACATTAAGAAATGTAGAGCAAATTTTTCAAAATTATGAATTTAAACACAAAGGCTTTTATTATAAAAAGTAGGTGTTATAATATATTATATAAAGAATGGAAAAATATTAATAGAAATGCAAGATTTGTATTCACCAGTTAGGAGGTTTTATATATGTTGATTTATTAGGGCAACAATGTTTCGTAAATAGATATTGTGATAACTATCAATTTGTTCACATTGTAAAAATGAAATAATAAAAATAATAATAAAAAAGCCACCGCCAAAGTTTGGTTTTTGTGCAAGATTGATTGGTGATAATTTATTTATACATTTATACAAAAAGATTAAAAAACGC